GCGGCGGGGGGGGTTGCCAACTGCCGGCCGAGTGGCGACCCCTCAGCGAGGGCTGCCGAGCCGAGCTGGCGGCGATCATCGTCTACGCCCGGGTGCTGGCCCTGCACCCCGACCCTTACGGCGCCTATAACTACCTGCCCTGGCAGAGGGGTCCCCCCGGCGGCCCCCAGCAAGGAGCGGGGGGGCTTTTTTACTCGGCCGAGATCGAGTTGCTGTGCGACCAGGCGTGGGGCAGCATGTTGGAGGTGCCCGCCGGCTCCCGCCTCAACCTCACCGGCCTCGGCTACTTCTCCTGCCACTCGCACACCGTCATGCAAGGCTACGCTTATTTCTTCTTCCTCCGGTGAGTTCCCGAAATCCGGGAAAAGCGAGGAAGGCGGGTGGGTGGGATGGAGGGGTGGGCATCCCGGCTTTAGGGCATCCCCCGGGGGGATGCGCACCCGGCTCCGTCCCGCTGCCGCTCTCCCCACAGCGCCTTCTCTTTTGCGCTCACAGTTTCATCGAGGGAAGAAAAAAAAAACAAACAAACAAAAAACAAACCAAAACCCCTCAAAACTCATAATATTCCAGCCTGTCCGGGCAGCAGATGTACGGGGAGCTGCTGTTGAGTAGCTCCCGGGTGCTGCTGCTTTTGTTTTTACGGCGGGACGGTCAGGGAGCTGGAGAGAAGCCAGCCCCTGTTCGCTGAAGTTTGGAGCTTAAAAACCCATCCCCAAATACTCACCCGATAGCTTTCTCCCGGCTCTCCCAAGTCCCAGCCAAATCCTGACTTTGGGCGCATCGAAAGAATAAGAAAATAAACCACAATGTGGGAACAGAGCCATCGCCGTGACCTTCAATCCAAGAGCGTTGTGAAATACTACTCGGTGGCTTGTTTCGAAATACTCGGTATATTCTTGCCCTGGGTGTGGAGCGAAACACAGTTTGATGCTTTCTTAGTGCTCAGGCTGTGGCAGTAGCTTTAAACACGTTTTACACAAGTTATTTATTGGCTGCTTGAAGGACTACTTAAACTCCGGGATCAAGAGCAGTGTGATGCAAATTCAGTAGGGACCGTGGGCCGAATTGATTTGATTTGCCTCATTCATGGGGCTTCGTTGATGTCTGCAGGGTGGCAGGAGCCTGTCAGGTCCTCACTGTCGCTGCCTGGTCCCATCCTCTGTGGTGGAAATTGCCGTCTTGGCAACTAAGTGCCAGGAGAGCCACCTGCCAGCTAAAAGTTGTCTGTGTGACTTTTGGTGGCACTTGTGGAGCAAGGCTGAAGCTCAATGGGTGACTTCTGTGGGAGAGAAAGTGCCGCTCAGCCTCACAGCGGGCTGCCCCTGCAATTTGTGTTTCAGAATGGATGAGAACTACATCCTCCTGCCGCACGGAGTCAACTTCCAGGAGGCGATTTTCCCAGACACCCAGGAGAACAGAAGGATGTTTGCCAGCCTCTTCCAGTTTTCTAACTGCTCTCAGGCACAGCACGTGTTGAGCTTCGCCAGTGACTGGGAGATTCAGGAGGACAACCGGGTAAGGGGTTTATTTGCTCTCCAATGCTTGTTTTCTGAGTGGGCACAGGCATTCCCGTGTCATTTGCAAACATATATATATATATGAATGCAGATCAGCAGGTCCCTGATTTTCCTGGTCCTTTGGCAGCATTGTTGGCACTGGTGGGGAGATGTTAGACTCTGTTTTCCAAGCTGACTTCTGTGATAGCTCTTTAACTCACCCGAGCAAAGCTCAGTATCAACCTGCTCATGAGCAACAGGTTGGAAACCAGTATTGCTTGTGGTCCTGTCCTACCCGAACCAGGTTGTTGCTGGTTTTCCTGTCCTCAGACCCCATACTTTAACTTCAGCTGAAGTGTTCAGGAGCAGAGCTCTGCTTTTGTACCTCTGTGTCCATCTCATGTAGTGAGAGTGGTGCCTGGACCATGACAGACTGTAAGGGATTATTCTTGCCTAACTCCACGCAACAGCATAAACATCTACTTCTGAACTAATCGCCCTAAGCTGTCTTTGTAGCAGCTGGGGAAAAATTGACTCTTGAGGGCACGGTTCGTCTGAGCCATGAGGGCATGGTTCATCTGAGCGACGCCGGCACCTACTTCTGAACAAGCTGAATGAAATGCCTCTTTCTCTTCTCAAGGGAGGCCACAGTGAGTAGCTCACCCTCCAGGCAATCCTCCCTTAAGAAAGTACATTATTAGTATGGAAAGTCCAACGATGCCTGTTGTTAGTGGCTTCTGAGCCCTTTTATGGGGCTGTAGTGTGTCTAATAAATGCAGGATTTAAATAAATACTTCCTTGGCAGCCAGGAGCAACCTGCAGTTATGTGTGTGCATGTTCTGGGTGTGCATACAAGCATGCAAAAGTGGAACTTGGAGAGCTGTTTTAACACCAGACCTTGTTTATGAGGCTAGTGGTTTCCACTGGTAGCTGAGAACATTTTAAGCCTCTCCTTAGGTCAGGATGGAGAGGACACGTGTCATCGCTTGTGCCTTCTGTGGATTCAACCAAAGCACAGTATTTGTGTACGGCAGTAGATGCACTAGTGGCTTGTTTGGGCGATGGAGGGAGGGAGCTCAGTAGGTGGCTGAGCCTTTTCCCTCCACCAGCTGGCCGAGTTTGAGCTGCTGCGTGGCCGTCTGGCCAGTGACACAACCCCGTGCCTTGGGATACCCCATGGGCAAGCATTTGCCCACTGCTGACATCTTGGGGGGGGAAGTGGGCAAAGGTGACATTCAAATATATATTTGGGGGTAGCAGCAGGAATTGATATTTAAGAGAAAATTAATTATGTTACAATTAGATGCCCTGGGTGGGCAAGAAGAGGGGAGGGCTAGAGCCCCCGTCCCAGCCCTGCCTCCTCCCTGCCAGCCCACAGGCTTCCCAGCACCCCCAGCAACGTATTTGGCAAATAAAGGCAGTACCCCTGCCAAATCCACTGATTTTGCTCTGGAGGAGCCAAGAGGAATTGAGGGACCACCAGATCCAACTCCCAAATGCCTGCTTGCGATGCCTCTGCACTATTTCTTTAGCTGCACTAAGATAAATGCAGGGGATCTCGATGGGCTGGTGCTCGTTTACACCAGTGGGGAATCTCACCAGTTTAGCTTTAATGGAAATCACAGGGCAGGAACCCCCAGGGTAAGTTGGGGCAATGGAAAGCGTGCTTCTCAAAAGTGCATTTCAGCTGTTGTGCTCTTTGACCCCCCGCAGCTGTGAGCAGATTAGGGGGGGATTAGAGCTGCCGGTCGCACAGATCGGGGCTGGGGGCTTTACATACTTCAACACCCACCCGTGGAGTGAATTAATTCAGCACAACTGACGGACACTTTGTCTCCCCTTCGTAATGAAAAGTAAAAGCTTCCTCTGCACCAGTTAAAAATAGTTTGGGCTGACTGTGCTCCCATTCAGCTCCTTGCATCTGTGTTTGCCCAGCCCAGCGCCGGCTCCCAGTGCCTGCATGCCCCAGTCTGGGAAGGGGATGGTGTTTGTGGCTGCCACGGTATCAGGAATTTATTCCCCAGCTCTTCCTGTTGCAGGTGCTGATGTCCAGGGTGCAGTTCTTACTAGCATTTCACTCCCTTCTTTGCCTTGTCACATCCAATGGTGACTTTCCCAGTTGCCACTGCTTCTGCTCGCGTCCCACCACAGTGTAAGCAATTTCCTTTTCCAAACACACTTGGCTGAGTTGTCCCAAACTGGCTCCTCAGCTGAAACCTGTGGCATGTGCCGGCTTCACGGCACAGAAAGTGAACATTACATGGAGCATCATTCTTGAAGCTTTTCGGAAACAAGGCTCTTAAGGAGCCTGGAGACATCTGTTACGGTGTCAAGCTGTAAAGAACATAGAAAAGGGTCTTCTGATGAGGGTCACACTGCAGTGAGAAGTCAGAGGTCTCACTAGCTGCTGTGTGCTGACATAAATTGCTAGTTAAAATCCATCATGGGTGTTTTCTGCAGCCGGAGGGAAGAGATGGAGATGCTGAGATGCTCAGAGCAGATGGGACGAAGGTCTGGTGTCAGGAGATAGTGAGTCAGTAGCTAAAGTTCTGCCATGAGTCTTGGGACATCTTGAAAAGTGTCTCTGTCAAAACCCAGGCCTAAGTAGGTTTGGAATAAAGGAATGATGGAATCTCCTGTTTACAGCTGGATCCCATATTCCAAAAGACTTCTTGAATCCCTGTATTTGCTCGTGGCCCTGTGCCCTACTCTTGATCTATTTCTAGGGTGGACATTTTAAGGGAGAATTCGGTGCTGGAAGCATGTGCAGTTGTAATGAATTATTGATGTTTGTAGCTCTGGGGTGCTCAGCCAGAAGATGAGAGAGCCCCGTGATGGATGAACTTCTTTTCCTTCATGTAATGCTGCTCCTAGCAAGAGGTCCTTTCTGCAGGGTGTGCCTGATCCAGCTGTGGAGCAGAAGACCCAAAGGGGACCACTGACATGCTGTCCTTCTACTTGCCCTCTTCTCTCTCCTCTGCTCCTTGCCTGCAGGCAGCCTTGTCTGGGATGTTCCAATGGGTGAAACGAGGAAAACCCTGACAGCTCCTTCTCCTCCTCCCAGCAAATGTGTCTGATGATGAAAAAGAAACCAAAGGGATGTGCACTGGGATGCACAACCTGCCTTTTCCATCACGAGAAAACCCTTTTAATTTTCGGAAAGCCCCATGGTGCATGGTGAAAGGAGGCCAGGCCCAAGACACTTCTTGTTGGTGATAACACATTTGTCATCCTGCGCTTGCTGCTGTCGCTGGAAGCGAATTCCAGCTGCATTTTTAAGTCCCTTGCAGTCTGGGCTGAGGGCCAGGCATTGCTTTCCATAGTTTTCCAGTAACTCCACAGTCTCATAAATTCACTCAGGTGCTTGTTCTGGCCACTCTGGAGAGCAACAGTAGCTCCGGCTCTCATTTCTTTAGGCACTTGCATTTTGGCCTCCACATTTGCAGAGGCAATAATTAATTGGGCTCCATCCTGACTTTTCTTACAGCCCCTAAGGGATGTTTGCAGACCTCCTGCTTTACTCCATCTCACTGTCACAGCGGTTTCCACAAGGTTCTTGCTAAAGCCCCAAGTTCCCCAAGGCTTGGGGTTGGACCTGGGGTTGGGAAAGGCCACAACTTCTTGCAGAGCAAGGGTTCCCTTCTTGCAGCATGTTACAGATACCTGGGTCCCAGGCTTGGCCCAGTCCCAGAGCTGATGTTGGTGGAGATAATAACACAGGAACGCTCCTTTTTCCCCTTTGGAGTTACAGTTTTAGTTGATTCTTCCCACCCTCTGCCCCTAGGAGAAATGCAGTTTTCATCTAAGGAATGATGAAGTCACAGAAATTTCTTTTAATAGGGTGCTTTGATTAAAGAAAGGAAAATTAAGAAGTAGTAAAAACCTAATTAAAATTCTTACAAGCTGCATGTTTTTAGCCATGTCTCGTGTCAACCCCTGAAGGAAGACCTGCAGACGTATCAAAGACTTGGTGAAGTCTGACAGCCTCTTACCCGGGCATGCCAGGCTGTCCTGTACCCTGCCTTGGGAAACCACCCCAGACCTCTTCTCCTCCACCTCCTGCTTCCCTCAGTTCTCCTAAAATTGCTCACAAACCTCTGCGTGCTACCCAGTTATTCTCTGGTGCTGGTGTGGTGCTGGTGTTTCATTACCGATGCTTTCGGGGAGCAGCCTTACAACCTTTTCTTACTCAAAAGGAGTCAGAGGGGCCAGATCTTTTTTTTTGGGAGATGGAGATGAGCACTTGGTGGTGCAGCCAGCATCCTCCAGGGATTGTGGTTGGACTCAATGATCTCAAAGGTCCCTTCCAACCATGAAGATTCTGTGATTCTGTAATTCCAAGGATGGAGAGAGGGAACAGGAAGATCCTGAAGGCCCAAGGAGCATCCATATTTGCCAATGCCTCTTTCCCATGACAAGTTTTTCTTATGGCTCAGTGCTAAATGACACTTTTCTACGTGCAGGGGGCTGCTTTCTGCTTGCTCAAGCTGGGAGGTGGGAATCATCACTGTGGTTACCCTCCTTTCGCAGTGCCTGCTTCTAATCCTGGGGGTGACAAAGTGGCTTGGAACTGAAATCCTGACCCCCTGGAGAGTTTTAGTGCAAATCTGGAAGCTCTGATTTCTCCTCCTGACTTGGCCTTCTGCAGAATTCTGGGATCTCTTAAATAAGAACTCCTTGCCTTGTCTGGTGATAATAAGGTCTATAAAAGTGTCAAAGAGCGCTTGTTGTTATTTATTATTCAGAGGGGTTTTAACTCCTGTTTTTGTCAACAGGATGATAGGGGAAATTCGGTCTTTTGGCCTCCATCCCAGCTCGCTGTGAGTGGTGGAGGTGCTCACGACATGGGGCCATGGGGTGCTTCTTTTACAGGGCACCTTCCTCCCCTGTTTTTCACGCGGGCGAATTGCAAAATGACCCCCTGTGCATCACAAGGAGGGAACTAACAGCAGCGTGGCAAACCGATTGTAAGCAACTGTGAGAGCACTAGCACTGTGATAAAACCCATGGAAATTAAGG